ATCACAATGATTTTGATACTTTTAAAAACATTAAATACTTTTTTGTCAATAATTGAAATATTATATCATATTTCGTAAATTTTATCCTTATCCAACTAGGAACGTTGTAGACTCCTAAAAATAAGCCAATGCGAAAGGTATTAATTAATCAATTTCACTTTCCTCGACAAAATTCAATAGTCGACATTCCGAAGGAACTTTGACAAGTCGATTATTTCCGAAAGTCATCTGCTTAATTAGACAAACTTAGCGAATGGTTTGAAACAAAGGTAAAGTAAACAGTCATTATTTTCATACAATTTTTTTATGACAGTTATTCTTCGGCAATAAATTAACAGCTCCATTAGAACTATTGAAACAAAAGAATTGTTGTACCTCGATTTACCAGTAGGTGGAGTGACGACCTGTGCAAATGCACGAAGGTGATGGATGCAGATGGCTAAGGATCGTGGTACATGCAGTCTATAAATAACTTTATAATTAGATCGTAAACTCGGAGTAGGTAATTGTGACAACAATAACGATTTATTTTACTGTAAACATAAATATAAGAGAAAAAGTTAAGGTAATTTTGAAAGAGTACAGCAAATGGACTGTATATTGTAACCGAGTACTTCTATAAGAAGGTTTTCTTTACAAGTGGGGGACTAATATATAATATATCTTTAACAAATGAGTTCACAGGTTTGGTTCACAGATGACGCTACAACTGCTGGCGCCGTAACAGAATTGAAAATATTTGTAGATGAAAACGCTTGAACATTCTTTGTTTGTGTTTCTTCATTGGCGCCAAGCATTACTAAAAATGCAAGAGAAAGGATGGTAATAAATGTTAACGCTTAGCTTAGTCAGTAGTGTACGGGCACGAAACCAGAAGACGCAGGTTTGAATCCAAAAGTTTTTGTACGTTGTCTATAAAAAAATTAAGCATCATCTTGAGCGCAGAGAATAGCACTAAAATTAAAAAATAATCCTCGAATAGGTTTATTCTAAAGCCACAGTGTTAACTATTACCACAAGTACACAGAATAATGGTCTCTAGTAATAAAAGAAAAGTAAAATATATCGCTTAATATGTATAAAAGTAGATATCTATATTGAATATACCGTCTAAATTCTATTGTAAATTGTTATTGTGTAAAAATAAATTGGATCGCTGTTGTTTCTCTATTAAGTACGTTTTATCGCTTTACAAACTATCGTTAGTTCATGCAAACCAAGCCATAAAGGTGAATTTATTATGTACTTTGGATGTAGCGACGTGTGTCGTAATGTTCATGCCCCAGGTGAAGTTGTTAAATTATTTTGTTAAATTTTTGCACATTTTATTTAACTCTGTATTCAGGTCATTCGAAATACCAATTTAATACAGTTTTGTTCAGTTTCTACATTTTTTCAATTACATTGTAGCAATGTTTGGTTTTTATTTGAATGGTTCACAATTGATTATAGTTCAAACCCTAAGTAAGTTAACACTCCTGATTCATGTTTTATAGCAAATAGGTATTAAACTTCATTTATCAGGTAATTTTTGTAATGTGAACATGCGAATAATTATTATCTATATGTGCTCCAATAAAGTTGTCACTTGTTATTACTCATCACATTCGATGTAGTACATAGAAGTAAAGAAAATGATTCCCTTTCTATATTTATTTACTAGATTAACCAATGAAAATATTATGATGGATTTTAAGGAGTTAAATATTTCTTGATTATGGAGTAAATTTTGTTTTTTACTTTAAGAAACAAAAAGTTGTGCACAAAGAGTTGTTCGTGGATTCCGTGACTAAAGGTCGAAACTTTAACTTAGTGGATAACCCAATGATTTAGTGCAACGGTTCACATTGCCAACCGCAGTTACGTGGCAAGAAGTGGGTTCGATTCCCACACAGGACAAAAATAAGTTCATCACCATCCTCCTGCCCCTAGACCACGTACATGAATGAGGTCGGCAAAACGTGTAAGTCATGTTGTAAGCGCTTTCGGCTATGTTTTTTTTTACAACCCTCGCTTAACGTCAACCCTTCTTAACAAACACCCATATCCGGAACAATTATCTGTGGGTCACACAAATACTAGTACAAAAATAAGTTATCTAAAGGAATTATTACCTAGTGTGGGGTTAGTTTTTCTAAGAACACAAAAATAAACAACAAACGGTTACGAAATAAAACTATGTTTAGGGATTTATCGCGTTTATTTTTAGTTTCAATTAATTAATTAGTTTTAAAAAAATAATTAGTTTTAAAGCGTTCATGGTCACGGGACAGTGTGACAGGGACAGTCTGTGACAGTCCCGTGACCTTGTACTCACCCGGGAATTAAAACTAAAAATAAACGCAATAAATCCGTAAACATAATTTCATTTAGTAATGTGTACTCGCGTAAATACAAAAAAATATTATCAAGACGGTTAAAAATCCTTAGTGGCATCGATATGTGATTAAGTTCCCTTCCAATACATTAACGTATTAACCTATTAACCATATTAATGCCATTCACCAAATCATTAACCGATGTTATTTCTAGTATTGACGCGATTATGGTCACGGAACAGTTCCAAATAAAAAAAAAGAACAGACTTGACGATGAACAAACACTGTGACTAAAATTAAAAATAAACGCGATATATCTTTAAAATTAGTTTCATTTAGTAAGTTTATAGATGTTACAAAATAACATTAAAATTACCTCTTGCATTAACGTTATATATCTTTCGATCTAAAATATAATAAGCATATCTTGTTGTGGAGATAAATAAAAATGTTCTGGAAACAACAATTCTCGAGCTGATATGTTGTCCGACGTATAGACTGCGCAACCCTCATCAAATGAAGACGTTGTAGGGCCATTTGTCTTTCAAGTAAAATATCAAAAGAAAATAATGTTAAAAGTATACTGTCTATTCTATACATATTATTTTCTTTCACAGATTTGAAAAAAGAAGCATTCGGTGCAATTTTATTAGTGAAAGTATAAGGTCCTATTTGCTTTTAATTTAAAAAATGATGAAAAGGTATTTCTGATTGTAATGAAATATATTTTCATGGAATTATAATCAATATATTAATACAAGATATAACTTTAATCTGCAGATAACGAAATGTTTTTCCTATTCTCCATTGTAAATTCAAGCAGTTTTATTTCGCGAAAACTCTTATAAAACATTTCAACTGTATTCATTCTTTGTGCAGTCAATTTTCGCAGTTTGAAACAACTTGGGTCTCAGGCAAAACCACTAGCTACTATTTCTATTTGTATCGTTGCCATCCGGACTACTGTCAAGTGCGGAGTAGCGACGACAAAATCACGGACGCTTGACGCTTTTCTGGTTTCAGCTGCCAACGTCATGTCGTAATAAAAATCTTTTTGTTTCGTGAATATAGCTAATGTGTTTTTGTTAGAACACAACAAATGCAACTAAATTTTTACAAAATGTAAACCTGAAATCATTTAAAAATATGCACATAGTTTTGTAATTAACTGATTGCTTACATTATATTTACTAAAATGCTTAGTAATGTTTAACTGGTCATCTCGCTATCATGTATTGCCCACCGCAACATATTAGTAATTATAAAGCACTGTAAAACTTAACTCGTGTTAAATGATAAACTCGTGTTTTTTGTAGACAGGCCACATCTAAGCACTTTATGAATTTAGATCTATCATTTTGTTTGGATAGATAACGTAGCTGTGTATTAAATATTTAAATTATTTTATGTAGTTTCAATGATAACTCGTGTTGTCTGTCAGGACACATAAGCACTTTATAAATTTAGATCATGCAGAAATAATGTTCCTTATGAGTCACAAAGCGAACTTGCAGAATAACTGTAGTTCAAAGTTAAGCCTGCTCAGCGAACTTCCCATTCCTTATTCGAAATGTCTTCTTGTGAACCATCGGGAATAAAGGCTGGATTAGGGACTTATTGAGCTTTGAAAAATTCATTGGAAATTCTCTAGCACATTTGCAACACATAGCATTGACAACGTATTCACTTACGTGAGTTAAGTTACTTTATTGTAATGTACTACCAATATATATTTATTAATACATTCACACGTTTACGAGTTGTAATAACGATGATTGCCATCTTTTTAGTTTTTATATGTATATAGGAAGACATATATAAATTTATGGAATTTTTATCATTCTGAAATTGCAAGAGAAAAAATATTGCACTAATTTTTATCAAAGAATTTATTTCGTTGCATAAATGGTTGCCATTAATTCATCGTAACAAACAGTCCAATTCTGGACGGCCGTAATGGATTTCGTGGTAAATTGTCGGCAAATATTCTGAGAACTAGAACAGATGGGGCCGAAATCTTATCTCTGTTACCTAATAAGTTCTTTTCCAGATTTTTTTCAGACTTACGAATTGCGGTTATTGATCTTTATTCAGTTCACGAACATTCGAATATACGGCGCACGGTTGTAATTGAAAATATATTGTTGGTCCATAAATAGTTGTTTCGTCTGAGTGCAGTTAGTGTACGTGATTTCAAAGGAATGTGAAACGTACCGCGACCCAGAAAATATTTTTCAGATGTGAATTCGTTTTAAAATAAATTTAAAAATAATAAGTGGGTTTTACACAATTCCTGGTGTTTTACGAAAGAAAACAGTTAATATGATTATGAGATGTTGCTAGATGAAAATGTGACAGGTATATTACACAGACTATACGTTTATGAATGTTTTTCGAATACGTAAAAAAATTGCGCTGTGAAAACGGAAACGGCTGGAACGTGGTAAGCGGTGGAGCCACAGACCAGGTCTGCAGCTGAGGGCTGGGAGCCTGCTTATTAACACTGGCTCCCCTAGCTACCATGGCCTCTGGTCAGCGAGCTCGGGCGAGTTCGTTGGCCGTGTGAAAGGCGCCGAGTAGGAAGGCAGGCAAGGAGTTGCTCCCCGATAAGGGGCTGCTAAAGCGGCCACCGTAGGTCAAGGTCGTGGGAGTGTTGGAGAGCCTTCCTGTGGCCTTATCGATATGCGCCTGGGTAAAACATCGTGGAGGTTTTAGTCAGTGCGAGTCCGAGATAATTCCGTCCTTTTTCCGCGAGGGCGCGTATACGTATGATTTTCTACCTATTTAACAAAAAAAGAGGTTTTTTAAAGCCAAGAGAAAGAGAATTTTAATTGTATTTATTAAGAATTGAGTAACTCAGTATGAAAAACCAGTGAAGTGGACTGAATGTCATCCCGTATTTCGTTGCTTTTGATAACAGATCCGATGTTATTTCTTCGAACAAAATTTGTAATTCGGGTCATATCAGTAGAAAAACAACAATTGGAACGTGTCCATAATATTTATCGCATTGCAGCTGCTGTGGTTTTAGAAAGCTTTTCAATATTCTTTTGTCGAATCATGTTGTGTCCGCCAATATTATTTGTCATGTCCCGCCTACCGCTTGTTTGTCCGTTTTATAATATTTTTATAATATAGTACCCTACCGACTCCCACGTAGCACTGACCCGACTGCATCCATCCATGTTAAAGGTGCGAGATGTCTGGAAAATCTGTGGTTGTCAATCCGCTAATTTTAGTCTGCCCAACGACTAACGACTGATGAAACCACGAATTTATATGTGCAACGAGCCGTTTTCACTGTGAAGAATCATTCAAGAAGCACTAGGAGATACGCAACTTCAAATACAAGAGATTCAGTATTATGAAACCTCAACTACCAATTTGATTTCTTTATGCCCGAGTGATCTTTTTCTGGGATGTACTGTATTAAAATTTTATTAATTAAAATATGTTATTGTCCCCAGTGGATTCTCCGTGGTTGCCCCCGAGGTGGCTGTCCCGGGGAAAACCACCGCTGTGCTTGTTACGCTGCACGGAAGGGCTGGGGATGAGACAGTAGACCCTCTGAACGTGACAGTCCGTCTTGAAACGCAGGATGACGAAAACGACGTGAAACTGCTAACAACGGCGAGTCAAATGATTATCGGTACGTATTCCCAATATTACATAATACAATACACAGTTATTTATTTCTTTGGTCTCTAGTTGAAAGTCTAGTCTCTTGGTCTCTGTCTTTTCGATTGAAAAGAATTTAATTCGCTCTATATTAAGAAGGGGTCAAACGTCACCTAATGTCAAATGATAACCGTCACCCATTGACATTAGCAACAGCAACATTGAGTTGCACATGCGGCTACCTTTAATATTACTTTAATATAACCATACCTTTTTATGTAGCGGGGCCCCGGGTACCCCACTGACCAGACGAAACGCACAAGTGTAACACTTCTACTTCACACCGGTCGTGGTACTTTGATACTTAGCTAGAACTGTCTGCCTACTTAATTACAGAATCTATTGAGTACTTACCAATGTAATTGGTGGCCGGTCTCTAATTGTACAATGAAAATAGTTTGGTAGCCAAGAGTAATTTTTACAAGTAGAAAATTTTAAGAAAGGGAACTTTATTAAAACGCGATAGTATAATTTGTTTTTTATTGTAAAAAAACATCCACCTCAGCTTGAATCAGGTGCAATTCAGTTTTTTATTGTAAAATCCACAAAATCAAATGTAGTAAACTGTCAAATTAGATTTTTAATATAAGAAATTCTGTCCCATCCATTACATTTTTCTCTCCATTTAAATGTAGTTAATAGTATATAGCCAATGTCGTCCATTATTGTTTCAATTATCCCAATCCCATAAAATATTTTTAAGTGGTGTGGTGGTCGTTTCGTAATTTTCCCTGTACCAATAGAATCTCACAAAGTTACCACCCTTTTTTAATAATGTTTAAAGTACATATTGATTACAATAATAACCAGTACACTATTGAAATTTCCCAAACATAGTGATAAACATCACTACTAGAATTTTAGTATTTTCGATAACATATTATTTTTAATCATCCGCTGTTTTTATACGATATATAAATGGGTTCGGTTTTAATTTAACTTCCTATTGAAAAAATCAAAAAAATATTTCAAACACGTCCTATTTTAGGATACTACAAAAGCCGAGATTAAAACTGGTCTATTTTTTCGGATTCCACGATCAACACCGCAAATGATGTTAATGCATTGTAACCGTACATAATACTTTATTCATACCTATAAAGTACCATTACTGCTCTAATGGTATGAATTATTTTAAATAGTTAACTCATCAAGGACAAGCACACACATTGAAAACTTGTGTAAGTCATTCGTTCGAGGTCCAGATCCAGATCCAATAGTACCCAGAATAAATATCAATTTACGACGTCCCCGCGGATCACAAAGACATTTGCGGCGTCTAGGTAATTCCAACCATCTTAGTATTCATGCCGCGTAAACAGCACTCGAAAAGTTTTATTAGGGTTTCGTAATACCAACAAAGGTAAACTTTCTGAAATTCGCCGTTTGCGTACTTAGAATAGTTCGACCCACTTAATACAACTTGAGCTCTTAACATTGCTGTTGATTATACATTCATGTGTGCGTGATTTTGTTCTTGCAATCTTAAAAAATAATTTGTAAGAAAATAGTACAATGGTAAAGAAACTCCGTTGGTAACATAACCTACATAGAAATATGCACTCACAGTTTTAATTCTCAGCCAGAAAATATGTCCTCTAAACGTTTTAACGAAGTCACGGCACTTATTAAATACTTATACAATACAGTGTTGATAATTCTAGTACTACTTTTATTTCAAACAATAAATAAATCAAACTTATAACCGTATTCCGATACTGTAAGATTGCAATATCTCTAAAAGGTCAACAGAATACGGCACAAAAATGGCTTACCTAAAACTGTCTTTCTATTAAATAAAAATAAAACGCAATTCATGCGGAATTATGAAGGTTTGCTTAAAGTAATGCTGACTTGGTGATGCTTGGTGGAACTTTTGAATACTTTTACTTCCGACTAATACTTTCTTCCTTTATAACAACTTCGGTTTCATCAGTAAAAGTTTTCTAGTACATTTTAATTAATCAATTGCCTTGCCTGTCTTGATTTATATATGTTTTATGGATGAAAGTAATTGAACAATATATTCACAAAGATATATGAAGCGCCGAGGACTGTAATCAGAGATTGTAAGCAGAGACGGATGTCGCGCATCCGACAGCGCCTTGAAGCGTACAAATGCTCTTTGTAAACAATGGGTTTCAGTCTCGAGAGATAAGGGATATTGTATTTGATCACAAGGATTCAAACTCGGTAATTCTTGCACTTGGAATAATACCGACCTTATATATATTACATATATAAAGTGGTATAAATTATATATTTTATGCATAAAGTCTTCTGTTACATTGGTCTATTGAGTATGAGTTAAATAACTGTAACTATTTCCGGGACTGCGTGCTGCTACGCTATCCCAATAAATTTCTTTTTATAACATTTTTGTCAATTTATGATTATTCCCATTTTATTATATTTATTCCAATTCTTTCTCTTACTCTTTCTCCTAACATAATCCCACCTAGGTTCATTTGTTAACCAACTGGTCAATCAACTGGGTAAGTTCGGCACTACAAATGAGTCATGTTGTTAAAAATATTGGCTAGGTTTCTAGAATAACACTTAAATCACAAATCAATAAATAAATAATACATCCTACACCAACTTTGGAACATTTACAAATATTACGTACTTAAAAATCAGATCAGAGCATGTAAGCAACATATAACCTGGAACGGGTATTTGTGTTGTGAATAAGAAGTCTCATGAATTGTACGACCGGCATCATAGTGGAGTATCAACGAATACGTTACGTTAAAAATCTTCGGCCTAATCGAATCGATTGCCAACAGCGCGAGTTCCAAAAAGTAACGAGGTAACAGCTGAAAGCGATTACTAATTCCATCTCAAGGAAATCCGATTTGCTGCAGCAGGCCGCCTAACGAACCGGCCCGCGAGCGTTGCCGACGCCTCGCCAGTTTGAGAGGAAACCTTGATTTTGTGCCTACAAGGACGTGTTTATGCTGAGACAAGTGAAGTCAATTTCTTAGCGCGTAAAATGAAAAGGCATTGAAAATAAGAAATTTCGTTGAGTTAAGACGCTATACCGGACTCTAATGATTGGACATCACCATTTTATTAGCATAGCTGATATGATCCAGAATCTCTCAACTCCTTAGTAAGTCTTCTATGTGCCTTCCTTGAGGAACATTTTGATTTATAATTCCAATTTTTTTTAATGTTCTGAGACACGCATACATAACCAGGGAAATTGATAACGAGCTATGTTCATTTGTTATTACATAACAATACACATAATTAAAGGTATGCTTCATAGATATAGAGAGAGATAAAGAATTATTTGACCTTTTTAAAACTCACGGAATCAACATGTCGTCTGTCGTCATATTATTCTACCATTTGCAGTAAACCCAATCTAAATCCATTAAACGAAATTCTACCAACGTCAGCCACAAAGAGCAGAGTTCGTTAATGCATCCAACTGCAATGCGGCCACAATAAAAGCATAAAGCGTTGCGTTGTAAGAATAGACGGATGTCGCACTTCCGACAGTCCCATGAAGAGTACAAACGCTTTCCGTGGACGTTGCTCTAAACGTGTAAAATTACTGATGTTTGTTTTGCGGTTTGTTTGCGTCACCAGAGAAGTCTTCTTAAAACTGCAGTTTCGCTTCGGACTGGAACCAGTGTCAGTACTATAATTAGGTTATGTACAGTAAAATTAGAGGAGTAAGTGGGACGACGATGCTTGCATGCAAATGCCAAAGATAGGTATATTAGTCGATATACGTAAAATTCAAATTAATCGGATACTCAGAAAACATGTTTATTACCTTCCTAAATTATGTACTTACTAATTAATTTGTAAATTATTTGTAATACATTAACTGATTTCAATAAATTGTTTAGGACTTAATGAGACTTTGTTTGTCAATTCCTCGTTAATTTATTTTTTTCATAAAAAGTAAACGTAAAACATCAAATGTAAGTTAAATTATTTTCACATTTACTAAATAATTTTTATATTTTACACCTCTACCACCATCCAAAAAATAATAAAAACAATAAATTAATGGTACAGATTAAATAATCAATATTGTAATATTTTAATATTGCAACAATATTGTATTTCTTTTTGTTGAACTTCGATTGATATTAATGTGAAAATAATTTACAATCGAGATTTTAATCTGCTCAAGCCCCATTCGAAATTCAATATCATTGGAGGCGAATTGAGTGTATTGCAGATTTACTCGGCGATGTAAATGCTTCAAAATAAATTTTAAGTTGAATAAACACATTTATTTTAATAAAATCATTATTGGAGTGAAGAGAAAAATTTAAATCTTTTACGCAATTGAAATATGCGATGAGTAAAGTTTTATTTTGATAATTTGATTAAAACAATATTTTAAATGTAAAGACACTTATACGACTACTCTCAAACTACAAAATGTTTTTTTATACACCAGAATAAATACGATGGTAATTATTCTTCCCGAAAAAGGTCAAATATATTATAATCTACAATATGTTATCGTAAACGTATATTTACGTGTGTAGCTGTACTGTTATTAATAATTTCAGTTCCCTTAATAAACACGGGCCGAATATAATTCTACAAATAATATAGTTAATATCTTTGCATTTCAGTTATTCTTTTTTTTATGTGAAAAGTTGTCAAGTGAGCCGGTGGTTCACCTGATGTTATGTGAATACCACCGCCCATGGACATCTGCTACATCCGAAGGTTTGCAGATGCGTTGAAAACCTTTTGAAAATTGGACCCGGAGCCCAATTTTCACCTCAACTTCAACCTCACTCACCAGACGAAACGCGAAAGTATTATACTTCCACTTTACGCCGGTCTTCTGTGAGGTCGTGGTACTTACCTGGACGAGCCTGCGCATTCGTGCAACAGCCGAGGCTGCTACGTGGCCCTACCACCGTTAAAAGTTTCCAAGAAATAGTTCCAATATAGACTAGATTTGATGACTCGGTGGCACCGTTGCTA